AAAACAAAAAGTCAAAAACCAAAATATTTTTTGTAAAATTTTTTCGTCGCGCAAAACTTTGTGCGACCAATGTCTTTCGTCACGCAAAACTTTGCGCAACAAATATTTTTTCGTCGCGCAAAGTCGCTTTGCTCGACCAATATTTTCGTCGCGCAAAGTCACTTTGTGCGACCAATATGTTTCGTCTCGCAAAGTCACTTTGAGCGACCAATATTTTTTCGTCGCGCAAAGTCTCTTTGAGCGACGAATGAAAAAATTTCGTCGCGCAAAGTCTTTCTCCACGATCTTTGCGCGACGGAATCTGCGCGACGAAGTTTCTGTCGCGCTAAAATTTGTGCGACTATAATGTATTTTGCGCGACGAAATTCTCTTCGTCGCACAAAGTGAAAAATGTAGTAGTGATTAGAGAAGTGGTAAGCCTAACATTACCCTTACTTAAAATAAGGAGCGTCACGAGAGTAACATGTATAAAATGTTTTTGTGCAATTTTAGCAAAATGAGGGGGGCCTTGGAGATCCTCTTAGCTAGTATGCTTTTGTTTGCATCTAAGTTTAGCATGTGAAAGTTTGATTCTTAAGGAGTAGGAGGCCTAATAACTTTAGCTCAAGTGTCATTAGAAGAAATGATAGACCTTAATTAAATGCTTTAATATGCAAAAATAATGAAATTAAAAGAACTCTAGTCTTATAAGAAATATTATTAGATTGAAATTTCATGAAATTTAAGGTTGAACAGCTAATTTTGTTTTCGGAGAGCTATATCCCGAGCTATATGCAAAGGTTTGACATTTGTGAAAAAACAAGAAATATATACGACTTTCGGTGGTCAAACATATCCTCAACATCCCTTATTATTATTATTAACTGACCAACTCTTTTTTTAAAATCAATATTAAATGACCAACATGAGTTGGCAAGCCTTTATCATATACATTAAGCCACACGTCTTTGGAATGACATACGTTCGAGGTTTTTTTTAGACAAGCGATACTGGGGAAGGGGAATTCAAACATAAAACTTGGGAAATTCAAACATAGATCTTGGATATAGGAGACTACTCTTAAATACTTAAGTTACAAGCCCCTTACTAGAGTAATGCAAGGTTGAAACCCATTATAGGTGTTAATGGTTTGAAATAGCTATAGGCACATATAATATTGTGTGGGAAATTTTAGCCATCTTTGCATGGGGATATGTTGTATGAAACAAATTAAAAACCCTTTGGGTCAAAGGATTTTAGGCACCCCACCAGAAATTACTCATATTGCGGAATTGGTCCATACATTAAAATAAATAAAAAATTAAACAAAAGCTTCATTATTCCATGAGGTCACAT